TGTTAAAGGCGGTAAGTTCTCCTGTGAAAAAAGCTCGGTTAGTTTACCGATTTAAGTATAAAGTCATTTTTAAAACTGTTCCCTTTTTAAACTTGTTTTTATTTTTATTTATACAAGATAAAAAAGAGATTAAGCTCTATTGCAATATTATATGAAACTTTACTATTTCATGTGTTAATATAATAGTCTGTAAAAATTTAAAAACAGTGCTAGTTTAAAAAAATATAATTGAAATAATACTACAAACAAATCAAAATGACCAGACATTATAAACAAGAGTAAAATAGTTTAAAAAAAAACCAAAAGGATCCCAAAAAAGCGAGAGTGGTTTTTTACTACAAAATTAAACATTGTTATCTCCAACAATAGTGTAAATAACACAAAATTTTACTATCGGGATTGGAATTGTGTTGTTACTAGAAGGCTACACTCAATATATTGACCAGTGGCTTTTGGTTTTTCTGTAGGTAAAGTTATAACAAAGCGACACAAAATATAAATCATACCTAGTAAAGAAATTTAAATAAAAGTTCTGTACAAATTGTGAGCCTAATAAATAATAATGGAAAACATTGTAAAAAATCTATTCATAAATTCTGTTTATCAACAAAATATTGACTTTTATAATTACTTTATATAATAATTATAATTATTTTATAAAATTATCTTACGCAATGTGTAAACTCAAAATAAAAACTGACTAGAAAAATGTTTCATCTTAAGGAAAAAAAATTAGCAAAAAATAATTTAGCTAACTCGGGTATTGACCATGTGTATAAAAAGTATGAATAAAGAATACAAAAATAAAACTTGACTACGTGTAGTAGAAAAACTACAAAAGCAAACCAATTTTCAGTTAACTGTAAAATAAATAAGTTTCATAAAATAAGAAAACTTACTACCAAAATTAAATTTACAATTAGTGTTTTCAATGGCCTTTTTACTAAGGAACAGTAAGTGAAATGTAATTTTCTAAAGATATGAGGACGTATCCATCAACATATTAGATAGGTTAATCTATAAAAGAAACATATAAAGAAAACATAGGCAATTCTAAGCCAACTTCAATTTTTCCATTACCGTTGATTGTTCAGTTGGTTAATAGCAAAAGGAAAAGTGCAAAAAATGTTTGCCGGAAAGCAAGTATACCAAGCTTAGATTAGGTTATAGTCAGTTATTTTATGTTCCCAGCAAAAACTTTTGTGTTTTAAATAATGATGCACCAAAACATTTTGCCGTTACTACTAACCAACAGAACAATCAATGACAATATGAGAAAAATTGAAGTTGACCCACTCTTAGCTCAGAAGTAGTATACAGGTTAGGGCTACGGCAAGGCTAGGTCCTGGATCAAAGTTAAGGATACAAAACATATATTTTTGTATATATATTTTTAGGCATTTAACTTCTTTTTTCTCTTGGAAAACTGGTTTCTAAACCCAATAAAATCAAAGGATTTTTACAAGTTTAATCTAAATTAAATTAAAATCAGATGTTTAGGACAGTTCAGTGTCAACAGACAAATAATATAGTTAGGTTTTAATGAACTCGGTTTTTGCCTTCTGTAGCCGTTAGAACAAAAAGGCAAGAGTTATTTCCCTGCCAGGGATTTGGCTAAAAAATGTGTTAAAATCTAACATGAAGATATCTTAACTCATTTTGTTTCATTATACTAGGCCTAACTCATTAAATTTTATTTTTATTTTTTTACTTTGGCTACACAAATTAAATAGTAACTTATCATAAAATATTCCAAATATTGTGGTAAAGTACAAATTTATCGGTAACTCATTGATATAATAGTTAAAATATAAAATGATACTAACACTCATGAACAGCTAGGCTATGAGTTTAAAACCAAAATAAATATTTGGTGGTGAAAATTTGTCAAAATATAAAAATATGTTACTAAGTAGAAGGCAAACACAACAATAGTTAAGTAATTTACCTGTTTATCTAAAAGCTTAAAAGAAGGAACCATTTTGAAATTGGTAGTAACAAATTGTCGGCGAATAAATTATTATCTTCGGAATTAATTTCTAAATGACCAGTCGAGTGCATGTACAAAACGAAGCGAGCAAGTTTTAGAAAAATGTTTTAAACATTTCAGGTACTTAAATCACATTTATCTATATAAAAGTAAACTTTACAGCAAGTCCTCAATAACTTAACTGAATGAATTTTTGAATATGTCCCCTTTTAACGCATTTCCAAAATCTCACATTTCTTGGTTGAGAATACGTATAATTTTAAGGCAGGGCAAACAAATGTTTATTTAGAGTCAAAATCTAAGGCATGGCAACTGACAGTTGAAAAATAATATATTTTAAATGAGTACCGTAGTTCGCAAATTTTTCACAACACAACATAACCTCCAAAACAGGGGTTTTAAAGTTATTTTGTAGTTAAAGAATGAGAAATAAAATTGTTTGTACTTAAAATTGTAAACAAATTAGATTAGGAGGCTTAAATGAATATGAATAAAACTAGAACACTATTGTAGACAAACTCTTACAAGAAAATTGATTTTTATGTTGTTTCACTCGACTAGAAGTTTTGTTATTGAGGATCTACTTTAGGAATGTATAAAACACGTTTAGACTTGTTAATCTAAAGGGATAATTTTACAAAGAGTATATAAAAGTTGTATAACATATGAGGCACTACTTAGCTTTAAGGTGATATTGCTAAAATGTACACAATTTGTGAAATTGACAATTTAGTAAAAATGAAAAACTATAAAAATTGCACTGCGCCTAAATATAACTAGGTTGGGTTAGGTTTACATGCAAGTTCCAAATTGCTTGGATTTTTACTACTTTCTCTTATATGGTTCATAGAATTGTTCAACAAGAACTCGTTAATTTAAGGGTAAATGCTGGTGCAAGAGTGGCATTTAACAATTACATCTTTGGGCAGATCACTTCATCAGAACAGACCGTAAAGTACAGACAGATTTTGTACTTGTGGTTTTGTGCCTATTCATACAACAGAACAGTATAGTATCAACAGAATTGTTATAACTTAATGGAGCTTAGGCTTGGTGTGAGTTCATCGCTACCATCGTCGTAAATTGCCCCCTGTTAAACAAATTGACTCAAGATAGTTTCACAAGATAATTTTAATGAATAACAATTTATTGAACCAAAACTGAAAAATTTAAACCAAATTACAATATCAATGACATTTTTGAAATAATCCCCGAAATGTTTAGATTTTAAAATATATACAACTATCGTTGGCAAAACAGCATTTTAGAACTTACAATCTAACCCACATTATCTTTGGAATTAAATTTTCTAAAAATGTACCAGTCCAATGGAATCCTTTGACCAGAAAAAAATTATTTAAATTCCGTTATTGCTCATGTAATTATAAACGGTCGAGAATAAACATGATTATCTTCCGCTAAATTACACAATTATAAACACTCACTAGCTTAGAAACATGAATACAGACCACACTAATCTAAGTTAAGAGTTTAGTAAACTTGTCTCAAAAAGCACCTATTTATGGTTACATAGAAACTATTTGTAAAATAACACCATCTATGTAAAAGAGCCAATGTCATAAATTTAATTTCATTAATTGTTCATAAAATTTTGAGGAATAAAGAAAACTACGTTAATACTTGTCGAGAATTAAACAAAGAAAGTATTTTACATCATAATGAAAATCACTTTTAACTAAATAATGGTAACTAAATATGAAAACGGTAACAGATCATAAACGAAAATACTAGTTGTAAGTCGGTGTAAATAAAACAACAACAAATATAAGATCCCAAAAAATGTTGAAGTTCAATCCTTTACAACTTTAAATTTGAACCTCTCCAATTGCCAAGAATCCATTTAGAAAAAAACATTACTATAAATTTCCGTAAACAAAAATTACCAGCATTATTCATAACAGAACAAATGTTGTTGTTTGATCCACAAAACATTCTTTTTAACAATTATATATTCAATGTTATTATATAGCTTCCTTATAGAATACGCGTAACTAACGGAATAAAAAAAAAAATAGTTTTCTTACAGTGCTTACAAACAACATTATGTATTTAGTATTATGTATTTTCCTTGTAAGTGTAATGTATAACACACAACTACCGTATTGTCAGTGGTAAATACTAATAAGCTAACACAGCGAGGTAAAAAATAGTAAGTGAATAAGGCTCGAGAATCTCTTCAATGACATTGGCTCGACATCAAACAGTGTAATATATTACCAGGTTGTTTAAGCTTTATGCAAATTAGTAATGCGATTGTAAAAATCATCAAAAATACGCTATCACATTATTTTTGAAAGTGTATATGAAAAACAACATTAGATATATTTGAATTACCACCCTAAGAATCTGTGCACTACGACATGTTCCAAACAATATGAAATCGTGGTTACAGTGCTCAGGGTATCTAAGCTCGAAAATACAAATACAATAAAATCCAACAACACTTAAAAATAAACAGCCAATCTAAAATGACTGGTTCAAACTCTCTTACGACTAAGTTATTATGTTACAATTCTCAAAAGAGGAATAACAAGTTATTTATAGATCCTAAAGAATATTTCGCGCCTAGCAAAATGCTAGCGAATAAAAAAAAGAAACAGGTTATCTAATTTAAAAGATAACACTAAGGTTACAACGAATCCTGACGATGCTACTATCACAGGCATGGTATAATTAATATATCAAAATGGCTTGAAGAAAACCTGCGGAAAATTGAAATTACCACTTTAGGCAAAATGGGAATCCGGTGTGAACGTGTCACCGCTTTGACTAGCCAAACATTCATAAGTGTACCTGGCAGTTCAAACTCCTCAGAAGACTGGAAAACATCAGATCTCTCATAGTTCCTGAAAAGTTATTCTCAAAGAAAAAAATAAGTATCGACTAAGTAAAAATTGTTCAATGTATGACTTACCTAAAACAACGCCGAAGTTTGGAAATAAATTCAAACGGTAAATAAGTTAAATTAAAAATAAAATAACAACAAAAATAAATCAACATACTGTCTAAAAAGATCAGTTTGAACTAAAAGCTTTATTGATACAACAATATATTATATCTATAAAGAGAACACATTACTTAACTATCAAATAAAATACATAGGTAAGCCTCGGTAACGGAACTACGTCACTCAATGGTTTTATATCACAGTCTTTGACTCGATAGAATTTCTACACCCGGTACAATCGTAAGGTTGTAAGTAACTCGGGGGCTTGTGTCGTAAAAATCGGACAATTTTAACAGAGTTTGAGGCTGTTTGAAGGATGAGGCACTTGAGAAACAAAGTAAGACAAATCAACGATTAAAACTACAACAAATATACACATTCAATCTTACACTTAGAAATATTGCAACAATGCACACCTAGTATGTAAGTGCTAACAATCGTAATGGCACTGAAATAACATACTCAATCCTAAGACACTCATTTTTTTTTTAATTTTTATGGTTACCTCGAGTGGCGATCTAAACACCTGAGTTTAAGGTTGTGACATTCAAACAGTGGTCTAAACTACATGAAAATGATAATACAGTACATTTTGGGAATATCTAAGTTTTAAAGGGTTAACACTGTTTTAGCGAGTAGATTTGTGAGAAATCTAACGTACTGAGTGAATTAAGATTAAATCTAAAACAGAGAATAAAATATATGAGAGTGGGGAGAAACTCCGCAGCATAAATAACAATAAAACTCAAACTAAAATAATATAATATATAAAATACTTTGAGACAACATCAGTCTTGGGGGAATCTTTGATATATAAATATTTAAACACACAAAACGCAGGAATGCTGACTTGGAATATACAGACCTGCGACCGCCCGCGCATTTACTAACGCTCTTAGGAACAACATTAACATTACAAATCTCAAATCTTTCTCGAATAAATAAAAGCCACAAGACTAACATAACAACAAACTAAGTATTTCATAAAAATACGCTCTATGAGCTTAAATGCCTTTGTTACCGAGTAGACCTTTGAAAGGACCAACTTTGATAACACAAATAAATCTTTAGCAGGGTTCAAGAACATTAAAATGAGGCTAGTAAGAAAACTTAACCTAGGTTAAAATGAATTAAAAGTCTAAACAATGACGGACATGTGAGATCAAAACATAAACATAAGGGTTAATTAGACGATGTACAGCGTGTTAAGCACTAACACGTGGTGGTTGTTTTTGGCGAGAGTTACGATGAATCCCTCAGAAGTGATCTTGAGTCCACAGCAGCGAGAAACCTACAACAGATCCATGGTAATATGTGACACAAACCTCGAAAACTATCTCTAAGTAGGCTACTAGTGTTTCAAGATAATTCCATAAAAAAAAAAACATTTCGATTTTCTGAAGATGTCAAATTGCATTTATAAAAGCAAACTTGCACCAAAACAAACACACAACACAAAAAAATCAAAGTAAATAAACAAAAGACAGTAAATTGTGATTTTGAGAAGAAGAAAGAAAACTGTAAAAAATTAGAAGACTAAGAAAAAAGAAATCTTTCCGTTCAAACAAATTAGTGATCCAATGTTGGGCATAAAGTAAAAATAATAAAGTCGAGAGATTGATTAGGCTATTAACAGGAAATATCAACTAAAGCCGTCTCAGCTATCTGACGTAATCAGCCGCAGAAATGTAAGGTAACACGACAAATAATTAAAATCACAATTTGTTTAAACCACTATATTAATCATTAATTCTCAGACCTGTTCAAGACGGTCTTATAGATTACTACGGTACCTTGACGTAAGGACACTCAAACTCGCAGATGTGGTCTCCATTGCGGTTAAACACTGCGACGTGGAATCTGTTGCCATGAGAGTCTCCGACCAAGACATCGCCAGCGTCAGAGATGTCAATGCCATTTGGGAAATTAGTGATGCTTTCGCAGCCGATGCGACGTAGGAAAGTGCCCAACTCGTTGAACACCACCACGCAATGTCCTTTGAAGTCGCATACGAAATACTCTTTGCCTGCAAACAAGGGCGAAGCTGTAGTCATGTTTCAAGATAAACAGCTGAAAACTGTAATGACCCTAATAGCCTATAAATATATACATACATATCCTCCCACGTTCCGGTCATCTCCGGGTCTGGGTGTTTGCTTCGTGTCCCTCCACATACTGCCACTGCTCTCCTCTTGCTTCCACATCTCATCTCACCTCGAGCGTCAATCCCCTTCTTCTAGGTCTTCCTCTTGGTATTATTCCGTTCATGTGAAGCTCACTCATTTTTATTTTCAACAAATAGCCTATCTATATGTATATTTAGTTAGGAGGCACAGGGCAGGATAAGCAGGCTTACCTTAAACATTGTAGTCCTTCACTGAGGACATTCAGAATCTAGTGACTCTAAATTTCTTAAAATATTCAGTTTTTCCGTTCTGTTTTCTTTGTGGTTTTTGTGAAGTGGGATGCCTTCAATTTTTAAGGTCAGTCCATGTATCCTGTGCTTTGTCTCCTTAATTCTCAGGCAATAAGCCCTTTCCAACCAAGCTAAACCTCTATTTATGATCAATTTACGTTTTACGAGAAAGAATTGATGAATATAACATATACAGGTTGTCCAGCTTGGACTAGGAAAAAAACTACAAATCAACCAAAATATTACCGTTACCACTCTGTTATCAACGTTGTTAGTATTATAACAAGGAAAATAATAGACTTTTACTGATTGGGAGTAAAGCTTATAGTTGAATAGGCTATATCAACCGTTTCAAGATGGTGGTTTTGTTTTCAAATCTCAAAAACAAAAATTAGGTAAACATTTTACTCTATACCAAAAGTTGCTAAATTTTATTAATTAAAAGACAGTGCAAAGAAACTGTTTGAAACGGTTATGGATTTTTTATTCATATTTTGCACAAAGGTAGTAGGCAAAACTATAACTAAACATGTTTGCTGAATTTCATTGCTATAGCTCAAACCGTTAAGTAGTTATAAGTGTTTTGGCAAAAAGCAAATACAGACAGACAGACACTTAACTGTTTGAGATAGGACATATGTTGTATTGCATTTTTTTCCTGTTTTGCCCTCACGAATAGTCTGGAAAAGTTTGTCTAGTCGAATCTGGACACCCGGTATATGAATTTGAACCGATGCAGATCGTGTTTTTGTCCTCTGGTGACATTAAAATAGTAAATTGGCCCTGGGCCCAGTTCTTACCATGAGACATAGCTTTTTCCCTATAGGAGAAATTTAACAGTATCCCCAGGCAAATAATTTGCACTCACCATTGATGGCCAGGTCGGAAGGTTCTCGCATGTGGTCGCTGCAGTCAAACCAACTGAGCAAGTCACCGTTGTCAGAGATGACAAACACAGTTGGCGACACTGAGTCGACAGCGACGATGTGACCCTGAGAGCTGACGGCCAGACCAGCCACAATGTCAATGTACCTGTCAAACAAGAATTCAATCAGCTGATGAGTTGTAAGAACAAAATAGGATCAGGAACCAACTGCCTCCTTCTCCCTGTAAAAGCAATTTTTCACATGGAAAATACCACTTTCTAACCATGCAAAATAATCAAATACAAAAAAGACCTTGCTAACTAAATTAAAGTCTTTCCTCACTATTGAATTTCAATACTTTTAATGTTTAGTTTTTTAAGTTAAATCTAAAACCACAACTTTTACAATAACCTAAATGGTTTATAGGTTAATTATGAAGCCAGAATTCTGTTCAGTAAGAAGTTAATCAATTTGGTAAAAAAATAATTGTCAAGGAAAATATTCATTAAGTTAAAATTTATTTATCTATTTAACATCATAAAACCCCACAATGTAATAACAAAAAAAAAGTATTACGAGTCTATTGTAAACAGGGTTTTACAGCAGCTACACTTTACAGGACTACGGGATGAGGAGGGGTACCTGGGACGAGTTTTCTTTCCGGTAAACGCATCATTTATTGCAGGAACATTCCACCATTCGCTGGTCCTGAAGATAGTACGAGTTAGTCACACAACACACAAACACATGCCAAACTTACCACTTACCAAAACTTACCAAACTTACCAAAACCAGGCCACTGGGTTAGGTTACGTAAGGTAGGTTAGGCAATGGCAGTTAAAAAAACAAAACATGCTTAACTTAGTTGCTTCAAGGTTCTGGTAACAATGGATTTTTTTTATTTTTAAATACTTGTAACTGCTAACTTACAAAAGTATTTGTAAGGAATATTTAAGAAAGGAAGAATTCAGCTAGCTTAACTCAGAAATTATATAAAAGTGGGTAATGGATAGACAATAGAAGAACACAGCACATAACACTAGTATTTATTCCTAATATGGGAATTCTGGTTAGTTTTGTAAGGAAAGGCTCTAGGCCAGGATTTTAAATTGTAGAAAAAGTAGGATAGCAGCTAGCTAGCTTACCTTGAAAGTGTAGGTAGGCTATAGAACATGTAGAAATAAATACACTGTGCACACTATATTTCATCCCCTGAGGGACTTAGTCAAGTGTAGAGAAAGAGTTTATAAATAATAATTCTTCTGAATTTGTAAACTCTTTCTCTACACTTGACAAAGTCCCTCAGGGGATGAAATATAGTGTGCAAAGTGTATTTATTTCTACATGTTCTATAGCCTACCTACACTTTCAAGGTAAGCTAGCTGCTTTCCTACTTTTTCTACAATTTAATATAGGAATTTTTCAGAGTAGATTGAAGAAATTATGTTCTCTTCGACCTACTTCCAGAAGTCCTACATTAGGGTGAAATATCAACGCTATCTCTGATGACCTTTTAATTCGTATTATTAGCCTCTGGATTTTTGTTTTCTCAGGTAACCTAGCTGAATTATAGTCTTTTTAATAACATTTCAAACTAGCCACCTGGTTTTCCTTTAAATTATAATCAAAATGATTCGTTAGTAATTTTGGGGACACAAATTTCTTAAAATCTTAATTGTTTTGTACAAAGTAGGTTGCAACTACTCAGTTGCCAAAATTAATAATACTGTAACCCCAAACTAAACAGAGTGCAATGAACACAGAAAAATAAACAAAGAATAAAATAAAACTACTGTATATTAATTCGTCTTTGTAGCCTATTTTCAAGAGTTTCAGGTTAAGTATGAGAATATAAGTGGCCTTTACCTTGCCTGGTACAGTAACAAATGTTTTTTACTCAATTTCATTATTTTTTTTTACACCAATGAGATTAAACAAATTGTTAGATGTTCTAAATTTTATGAATTCAAAGAAGTTAAGAGAAAAAAAGTTGGAATATTGGCTATACTAAGTAAGGTTAGAATATTGGGTGTGTTATTTATTACTGTTGTTATTATAGGACACCAACTTTAATCTTACCTTCGTAATAAATAATGGAGTGTGGTCAGTGTTGAATATACTTTGATAAAAATAAAATGACAGAAAACAAAGAAAACACTTCACACCAAATCATGCGAGGTTTATTTACAAAACGCAAACAAGACTCTACGACCCCTGATATGTTGCAGCTTTTGTTTACTACATCTCTTTGGTACGGTAATCAAAATCATAACGTGCCAAGTTAATCATGTTTTCTCTGATAAGATAGTGAAACCGGGTAAGTAACAAAAGCTGCAACCTATAACAAGGGCCTGCTATACACACCAAAACCAACACATACTGACCGATTCTGCTGTTGACAGAGTTGCTTGAGAAAAACGGTCACTTCTCAGAAAATACATACCTGATGGCGATTTTCTTGATGAAGTGGCCGTTCTTGGTAAAAATCTGCATTCGAGAACGCTCGTTGCCACGGTCGCACACCACAAATTTTCCACTGGCCTTCATCACCGCTACCTTGCGAGGATACCACAACTGTCCTTCCTCTTTGCCGGGGATTCCAAACTGGAATTTGAAGTTGCCGTTCTTCTCGAAAATCTGGAAACATGCATCGTTGTTGATAAAAATTTTTCATGGGAAATCTTGTAGTAAATTCCACATTCACTGTGCAACATGAAGTGTCAATAAGCCATGCATTTCAACAGGGTCCTACATAAAATACATCTGAAACCACAACACATTTACGGTCATCTTTTTTCACTTGTTATTTTCACACTTTTTTACTGTTAACTTTATTGATAATCATGAAAAAAAGGTTCAAAATACAACAGTTAGTAAAATATACTTAAGCACTTTTTTGAGGGCTGCAAACACAATTGATTTGATATTAGGAATGGGAACTTATGACTTATACAGAGAAAGAACGACAACAAACATGATAGATCCAGTAATTGCAGCTTGACTACCTCCCATAGACCTTAACTGCTTGAAAGTATAAAAAATATAGTGATACTGGTACTTATTTTGCAATTAAAAAATCCAAACATTGACCGAATTGGGTAAAATTTTCAATTTTGTGTCAAATTAACATTAATTTTCAGAGAAACCCATCACACTGTTTCAGTTTGCGACAATGATTAACTTGTTGCTATTGAGCTCCCCAGTTGCAATAGTTTGAGACAACAACACACACTTGTTAAAACACACACTGGGTAAAAGAATGTACAATAAATTACCGAACCATGTAAAGCAGCTAGATTTAATTAGATATAAGTCTTATTTGAAGCAACTCCTCCTAGAATTAAGTGTATATAGTGTTGAAGAATTTGTTAAATATTTAGATGTTTATTTGTGTCATAGCTAGTTGTATTGTTTCTTTTTTAGAAATGTAATGACGATGCACCAGTTTGATGTTACCTGCTGTAACCCATAAATGTTATGTGCAAATAAATACTTTGACTTTGGGGGTGTTTTTAAGCTGAGTATGATGAAGTATGAGTGTAGAATGGATTGCAATGTTACTGACTAGGCTCAGTTGTTACCAATCACGGTCATTTATGAAAAGCCCACAAGTTTAATGACAACTGAACACATCAAACCATCAAAAAGCTACTGTCTTATCTGAGGCTCAAACCAGCGGCCTCTAACTATTAGTTATTAACTCATTAGTCGAACAGCAGTAAAAAAAGACCGGTTACCGCACTGAACAATACCCGGCTTTTGTGGTAGTCTGTCTACGACCATACGAGTCGCTCCCTTAGCAAATGTAGCACAAGATTCTATCACTACAAGGTTTAATTCCCTCTGTCTGTCAGTTTGGCCTACCTGAATGCGATGGTTGTTGGTATCGGCAACGATGATGTCCTCCTCAACTCCCAGACAGAAGCCGTGTGGAGAGTTGAATTGGTTCTTGGCTGGTCCGAGAGTGCCGAACTTGAAGCGAACCTGCATTGGCTGCGCTGCCTTGGTACCGTTACGAGCACTGAACGGAATTGCGTTTCCAAGCACACCTGAGTGAGGGAATCAAAACTAAAATTCCATATCTAAACAATTAATGCCCTTAGTTGTACTTTTGGGTGGCAGAACATAATCAACAAGAAAATTAATTCCATCTAGTTTATAAATTAAAAATTATCATAATAGAATGAACACTATGATGGTCGATAAGTGTTTCCCAGCCTTTTTCTGGTGTAACATTTCCCAAAAAAACAAAAATGTTTTGCGTACTACTTATCAGCAATAATTTCCTCAAAAATATAGTATTACATGACCAAAAATAAACTAGAAAAAAAATGTAAAACATTTTTGTTAATACCTACTTTAAACTTTCTGTCAAACCCTACGTAGTTTTTTCATAACCTAACTTACCGTTGCTAGCGGTGGCCAGCAGTCCGGTGCCGACACCAGCTAGGGGAGGAGGCAAGATGGCGGGTACACCGTTGATTGTTGGACTCAACACCGGGGGAATACTGTCTATGGGAGACACGCGGCCGAGCAGAGGAGCTGGCCCTGCGGCACCGTTCAACGGCCCACCGTTCACAACCATCTCTGTAACAATAGACAAAGATGTATAGAGACCATTAAGTTAGGAACCATAATTTTTCGTATTTTGTTTTCAACTTAACCCCTTAACCGCCGTCTAAGTAGCCTAGTCAAAATCCGCCATTGCCACTTATTTTTGCCGTTTTTTGACGATTTTTACTTGTGATTTAAAAAATTGTACCAGTTGTTTTTTTTAAAGAAAATAGTTATCAATATTGTTTGTAGACATCTTCAAAAACATTAAGCTTTAACAATACTAAAATTTGAGATTGGGGGGGGGGGTGGGGTTCGGGGGTTTCTTGAGTTAGGCCTATAATAAAAATTAGGCCTACAATAAAGTCTACAACTCTAATAAATCGTCATCCTCAAGCCTCATGTCACCAGCCATTACAACTAATATTTACTACTCATTCAACACTACCAAGTAAATAACCACCAAAAATCACAATTATAATGACACGCATAATGTACGTAAGCATTACGTAAGCTTCCGCAAGCACGAGTTTTACTGAAACTACGAACGGAACTGATCGGGACCATTACTGACCTATAATACCACTAAAATCCACCAGATTGCAGCACTAGTCAAGCAGCACTGTCAACAACTTGTTTACGTACGTATATCAGAGATAAGGCGGGAAGTGAGCTGTTAAAAATAAAACACAACAGCTGATTACGTCAACACGAGATAACTCGTACGTGGCGGTTGCTCTGAAAACTAGTATCGCCCGGCATATCTCGTGCGTGGCGGTTAAGGGGTTAAGGTTGTTTGGGCTCGATCAAGAGGAAACATTCAACGGTACACTTATGTGGTGTCTAGCACTAGTCGCTGATGTCTAAGGCAAAGTCCAACACCGTCCCTCTTGTACTACAATGCTCACAGTAGAGGAAGACCCTGTGCCACAGTAATTTCCACTTGCTTTGCCACTCAGGCTCTTCCTTGCTTGTCACAAGTATATTTCTGGCAATATACTAGAGCTGAAAGAGCACGGTCATCCCATAAGCAAGTTTTCTCTGTAGGCCTACCTTCCTTCCTTCTCTGTGGGGTGATGTATTTCTGGCGATGAACTCATTATTCCTAATTCAATGCGTATGCCACCACCTTCACTTTTAAGCAAAGTGATTAGTGGAGACCAGACTGATCAGGCGTGGAAGTTGATTTCCAAAAATTATGGTACAAAAATAACGGCCAATGGAAACAAGATATTAACTTGAACAAAATTGCAACAAGTAAATATAATATTAGGCTATTAGAAGAATGACGAAACACCTGTGCATTTATCTATAATCTCTGTACGTTTATGTGCTAATAAACATGATTTAATTTTTGTTGTTTCCCTTTAGAAAATTTCATATTTTTAATGATCTAAAATTGTACCTGAATAGTTTCAATTTTATCAAGTGACAAGTTTGTTACTTTTTAAAAATTCAGGATGAAATTACATTAATCTTCTTAAGCATTTATGAGATAAAAATTGTGAGTTTTCACTTTATTTGAGCTAATTCAAAGAAAATTAAATTTTAAAAACTAATTTCTCTGACTAGACACAGTCATAACGCTGGATTTTCCTAGGCGCAGAAGCATAGAGGTAATTTAATGGTGCAGTTTTCCTAGAGAAGCATAATGGATTGCATTGGCGACAAGTGGAAAGTCGCTTCTCTACATTCCACGTTCTACACTTAGGAAAACCCATCCAAAACCCAGTTAAGCATCCTTGGAGGCTAGTGGCCATCTTGTATAATTTCTAACAGCTGCTGAAGAGTTATTTACCGTCCAAAAATAATTTTTCAAATACCAAAGTGATTATAATTTAAATGTTTACTATACTGTGAGATAAAAATGTTCTTTGTAGTTTTGAATTGTTCCCTTCCAAGCTGATGTTTAACTAACTAATACAGTACATGACTATTGATACAACCAGATATTCCATCCCCATGTTAAAAGTTGTCGCCAGTTTTTTCATGAAAATCATCCATAGTTGATGTGAGCCACCGACAGATTGTGCTGATGTAAATGAGTAATATCTGACGAATATGCATACTTTTAACCAAGACAAACTGATGAATCGACTCATTGTTAGCAATAGTAACTGTTATGAACCATCAACTTTGTCAGCAACCAAAAATAAGGTAGGAAATATAATTTTAGACTAGCACATTCTTTGACTGGCTCACACAACTATGTTCTTTGATAAAAAATAGGCGACAGCTGTTCCCTATAGATGGGATGTCTACTTCAGTATCCAATAGTCAAATCTAGCTTTTTGATGGTTCCAAACTGTGCCCAGCTGGGCTTTAAATAAACGGTCACATTTTTATTTATATTTGGAAAAAAATTGTGGTAATGTTTTCTTTATTCCTATTGGAGACCTCTGTTTTAGGGTAAAATGATGAAATGAAATGTTGATGTTAATCAGAGAAAGCAATAAAGCATGACTTATCTACAATATTAATAGAAGATATTACAATTAAATCAATGGTATCGGATTTATTACATCTTAACTGTCAAAAATGTTTAGCAACACATTTAATATTCAAGGTTGGTTTTTGTTCTCTATTGACTAAATTTTCTCTATTTTTTAGACTAAATGTTACAACAAGTTTAGAGGACTACCAAGCGGGATTTGTAAAAGGGAGATCTACAATGCATCAAATTCACATACTTAAACAAGTTATTGGTAAGCACTGGGAATACAATAAAGAAGTACATAGGCTTTTCATAGATTTTTCAAAGGCCTATGATAGCCTTGACAGAGGAAGAGTATTTCAACAGATGGAAAAGTTTGGGATCCCCAGAAAACTAATAAAACTAGTAGAAATGTCCCTGAATATGTCAAAATGCAAAGTAAAAATAGATAGAGAGTTATCAGAAAGCTTTAAAGTAAGGACAGGCGTAAGGCAAGGTGATGGACTGTCACCTATACTATTTAACATAGCCTTAGAAGATGCCCTCCAACAAGTAAGGCAAACAAATAAAGGCTTGGAAATGGGAGCAAAAATAAACATCCTAGCTTTTGCGGACAATGTAGTCATTCTGTCAAAAAACAGAAATGACCAAGAGGAGCTAACCTTCATACAATAATTGTTCATACAAAAAAACAGAGAAAATGGGCCTAAAGATTAATGATGAGAAGACAAAATATATGCACTTCAGGAGACAGCCCAATGAAATTAAAACAAAATGTTAAGAATTATATATGGCCCAACACAAGAAAATGGAAAATGAAGAAAAAGGCATAATAGGGAGATAAGGAATATGTATAATGATTATGATGTATTAGCACACGTGAAAGCAAGGAGAATAAGGTGGGCAGGACACACACTACGGAGAGAACGGGGTTCACTATTAAAAGAAGCAAGCATAGGAAAGCCAGAAGGGAAACGACCATTAGGAAAGCCCAAGAAGAGAGTGGGGTAGTGTCTCCAAGGACGCCAGAGAAGTGGGGGCAGCAGTGGAAGAGACAGAAGATAGAGAGAGATGGAGAGCAGTTGTTGGTGCGGCCAAATCCCGCCTTGGGCATAAATGGCCATGGGAGTGAGTGAGTGAATAAATGTTACAACAAAAGCTTTACTTTAGGTTAAATACAAAATATTACTCTTTTCAACCCACGGTTTTAACAGGTTCAGTATGAATGCCAAAAGTATGCTATTCATTGCTTATGAACTGGCAATAGCTAGCTTCCTACTAAACATTTTAATCTTTATATTGGTTGCATATAATAGTTACACATCCGCCAACACTTTTAGAAACGAAATTCAACTTTTATGGCCTTAATAGAAACATTTAAGTTATGACTTTAAATCTGGTAAGTAGTGGGTACCACCATTTCATCTCCTTAATTACATATATCTTTTTATTTATTATTGAAATTTAAAATTTCAATTTTGAAGTTACTACCATTAAGTTTAAATGAAATTTTTTTAAATTTAACTCTTATTTATTTAATTTGTATTACCATTTGATAATTAATTATGGTTACATATATACAACAGATTTTAAAAAACCAAAATCAACGACGTACAATTTTTTAAATACTTTTCTTAAATATATTCCAGAAAACATAAGAGAAGATAATTTAAATAAGTTCAGGAAATTGCTGAAAGAATATTTAATACAACTGGCCCCTTACTCCATAGAAGAATTTTCCACCTCCCAGATATAACCTACTGTAGATATAAATATTTTTGTTATTACTTTTCATTTTTGCTTGGTTAACTGTAAATAGTAGATTTTAATTAGATTTAGTATTGTATTATATATGACGCTATTTACTGTACAAACTATGTACAAAAAATGAATAAAGAACTTTGACTATGACTATGACTATGACTATGACTACTGTGTTGTGCTTTGTAAGCCTTAGGCTCTAGATGTTTTTCCCAACTCCATCAAAGCAAGAAGCACGCACTATGGGGTATGGAGGTGCCAATGAAAGAAAAAATGATACAGTATGTATAAGGTGGAACGGACTTAGAAACAAAAAAATCGACAAAGTATAAAGTTAGGGATGAAAAATAACCTAAGACACCTTTCAGCCTATCTACTTAAATCAATAGTCAACCTAATAAGCAGGCTAACATTCATCTATACTTTTATTCCTATTTATGTCGACTTACCGATCTTTACGATTGAGGTTTTTTTTTTAAAGCTTATGATCTAGCAGTTTGTAAAAGGGTTTATTGTAGGGATTTGCTCCCGTAGCGTTTTATTTACAACTACAGATTGCTTTCAAAAGTCTAGTAATAATCATTAACTTTTTTTTCAGCTTTAAAATGTTAACAGCTTATCCTTTAGTTGAATATTAAACCAGATCCGGATTGGTAACAAAAGAAAACCGTATAAGAACATGTATTTTTTTAAATAAGCTGTTTTTATAACTGTAACCTATTTTATATAGATAAACCACTAGTTATTGGTGTGGATCTAAAAGCAATTCAATTTATGTACTCTAGTAGTTTCAACTTCTAATAACTGTTTTAAACACAATACTTGAGAGGTAAAAAGAGTGTTGCATCAGGTTCATTTTGCCTCGGAAACAAGTTTAGAACCCTGTTGAAATGTGCAATTTACGCACCTGTTCCAGTGCCCTTATATTTACAAAAATAAACTCTATATTAGATCAACTGAAACTGTGATATATATGTGTACATTGGTAACACTTTTAACAACTTCCTGGGCACCATTAGCCATTAAATCTCTCTCTTCCTTAATTGAAAATGCTGGCACAGGAGCCCTGGGCAAACCCAAAAGCAGCTCCCCCCTTTTTTCCTAGTACGGGTGGGCGGTGGTTTAAAAACAGCAGTGGTGTCTGGGCATATAAGCGGGCCTGGGTTGGCATTGACAGTGGAATATTCTAATGTTTTCTGTATTTAGTATAAAGTTTTGTGTTTCTTGTGCCAGATCGGTAAAAGGAATTCCTCGATAAGACGATTTTTTAAAATCTCCTTCAAACTTTCTTTAAGGTCAATGCCAAAAACACCTCTATATAATTTGGTTGAAAACCTCTAAGAGAAATTTGTTTGTGACATGGGCTAGGACTGATTAACCTCTATACAACCAATATTCTTAGCACAAAACCTATACAAGATGATTGTGACCTCTATAAGACGAATTTCTTATGATCTTAATCTGTATAGTACTTTCAAAACAGAAGCTTGTCTCAACACGAAACCCCCACCCAATTTTTCCTTCATCGGAGGTTATCTCAGAGGAAGGAGAAACCTGTATAAAACGAATAACGGTAGTATTAAACCCCCCCCCCCCTCAATAATATGAATTCTTCCCCTACTCCTTGTACTACGTCTTTGTTTGACTGTAGTGTGGAATTTCACTTAAACGTAATGGTTTGTTTATAGTAATTTTTAATTGTCAATTTTAGTGTTTCTATTTTCTTTTCATTACATGACTCATAAAAGATTCACAGATGTAATTTAAATAAACACTATCCATACTTGAGGAATATCCAAATTGAACTGTTAAAAAAATAATCCATAAAGAAAGGGAATACACTATTGCAAAAAAAAAAAAAAAAAAAAAAAAAAAACTGTCTGTATCTTTATCTTTAGAAGTTTTTCAAAACTTTACTGTAAACAAATGTCTAAAACATTAATTTCTACATTGAAATAAAAAACCTTTTACATCCAAAAAAATGTATTGAAGATTTTAAAAAAGTTCTCAGCTTTAGCAATGCTGCAAGTTTTTTTACAACTAAAGAATTATTCAAACGATACTTGCGTGTTCCTTAAAAAACTGACTTCAAAAACTCAATTTTTGTAATATTGGACTATAATTTCCTACTAATCATTAGATAGAAATAACCAAAATTTTCCAAGTCAAACTCTTTAGATAAACATAGAAATTTAGAAAAGACACACTTTCTCACACAGGCATGCAAAAACATTCTGAGAAATTTCAGTAGAACAGGCAGGGGAAAGAAAACATACAAACAAGTGGAAAACTATCAGTTTATTCTTTCAAGAAGTTGGTTGAAATAGACAATGAAGTAATACAATGAGAAAAAACCAGACTGAAAATGAACACAGAATGAGTGGTGAAATGAGTAAACATGAAATGAGCAATAAATGAAAACGATGTGGAACTATTTCACCCAACTTCTTGAAAGACGTAGTTTTCCTTACCGGAGTGGGCGGCTCTACGTAGAAAACTTTGCAAAAAATTATAAACCTTCTAAAATTTTATTTTGTGGTTTGTGTGGTGAGATTAGTGAGGTTTGACGAGCAAGCAACACAACAAGTTAGTGTAAGTTATTGAACAATTCCGTGTGTGAAGCTAATAAAACCAACATCTCACATTTATCTTTGATATACATTATTTCATGTGCGACTATAGAAAATGGTCAACAGCTTTTTTATTGAAAATAAAGATTTTCGCTTTAATTATTTTCAAATTAATATTCAAATACCTCAAAAACAAATTATTAACTAAACGTCTTTTTTTTTTAAGAAAATACAAATCGAGTTAACTTTTCTAGTGAGGGATTACAAAAAACGTTAAGCCGCATTTAGCATTTAAATTGTTATTCCACATCGTTTCCTATAATTTTAGATTCTAGAACTTAAGTATATATATAGCACCAGCTAAGATTTTGTTACAAAGGAGAATGGGAAAACAATAGGAGAGGATTTTGCAATTTAGTTAACTGAAGAAGGAATCAGAAAAAGTTAAAAGGATGAAGTAAAGAGTAGAGTAATATTGTAGAAGAACTGTAGAAAATTTATAATTTAATATTCTTTAAGAACGTTTAGTTAATTTGACGTCAAGTTCAAGCTGGATTTTTAGTCACATAGGTAGTTTGGTGGTCTTGCACAGTTTTAACAACGAGAATTTTAAATTTAATAAGACAAGTGCTAAATTTTTGTCAACAAAAAATGCTTTGCTTGCTTTGGTTATTAGTGTTAAAATAACGTATGTTGTGTCAAAAGACCTAAAGTTTGGAAGCCTAGAAAGATAAAAAATAGTTAAGTGTTTTTTACAGTAGAAAATTATTTAAGTAAGATCAAACACATTGAAAAAAATCAAATGATTTACATTTGGAGTAAAATCTCTCTAACTTTATAAAAACTTTCCCATGAAATAACAACATTTTGATTGAAAAATCAACTTCGTAAAACAGAATGAAAATAAACATAGAAACAGAGTATCCAATTCATAATGTAGGTACCGATACTGTATTCACCATCCTTAAAAAAATAGGAAAGTGAAGATTGGCAGAGAAATTACAAAAAGCAAAAAGCCATAACTTTTAAGAGTTAAAACTTCGAGGTAATATTTGTAACAGAATGATAGAAATACGTAGTAGAGGTGAATGAAAACAAGAAGTGTAAACAGCCGACCAATTAGTACAATTTGTTCCAGCTTTTTGCACATATTTATTTGTTTTGAAATAATTTGTTATTGTATCTTTGTGGTTTATTTAAAGAAAAAGAAACTCATTCAAGGGTGAGAAAAATAGACAGCAGTTTATTCATCGTAAAAATATTAAGTCAAATACTGCTCGAGCTATGACTTTTTTTAAATCAATTTCATGAATCCACAAAAAACTTTACCAACTTAAGGACTTTTGTTAAATACAAGTCTCGGGATAAAAAGATTGCTAGAAAATGTAAACATCATAATCTCATCATTCACCTCTACCAAACTTGTAAAAAGGAAAGGAAGAAGAAAAGCTTACCAGTAAGGACGCCAAGGAAATTGCTGCTAAAAGGATTAGGATTTTCAAGGAAGTTCTGCGGAGGAGGGGAAACGTCTTTTTCTCCTGGTAACAAAAATAATCCGCACAGATTAACTGATGTGCTTATGTACAGAGGTAAGCAGAAACTAAAATAGTACACAAGAAACGTTATCAACAAAATACTACAATATACAAAGATGGAACTAGGGTTTCTCAAAATTTCTTTATATTTACGATTAAGAAAACAGGAAAACAATCAACAACAAAATCAGAGAAGTTAATCTGATTTTTATTTGATTAGTGTTATTTGCTAAACTTGGGTAAAGAGGAATCATAACTACGACTAATACTCATTATGTAGGTTGGTGTTTTACGTTTTACTTACCTAGCAAAAACAGAAATTAAAAATTATGTTTTATCATATTTCATAGTTACATTTGAATTTGAAAAGCAGTTTATAAGATTCTTGATACAACTCTTACGTGGAACTAAGTAGGTAAAAATATTAAAAATACTATCTAACTTAAAAAAGATGGTCGATGTGAAGTAACATCAGCGTTGGGATTTCAGACTTAGCAAAAAATAACAAATAACAATAGAAAATAAACACAACAAAATAATATCATCAAACTATTTAAGGCTTTCACAATAGGTACAATTGTTAATCGCAAAACGTATGTTTCATCAATCATTTGTCTCTTAAAAGGAAATTACAAATAATTAACGTGAAAAGGAGAACTACATTAAACACTGACTAACTTTATCTGCCTTTTCCTAACAACTTTTTTGTGAAAAAAAAAGAATCACAAAAACACCCCAAAAAAGGTAGATGAGCAAAGTAAAATTTAATAAAAGCTCATAAACCTTTAGTTAAGTAAGGACACATCAATAAAAAATCTATTGGTGTCCGTTTGATGAAATTACAATTATTATTAGTCTTATCAGCCCATGATACATTGTTCTTTCTTACACTAGTCAAATAACAAAGATTAAACTAAATCATTAGTAGCCTGAATGTAAGAAATCAGCAACGCTATTATGTAACTAAACAAAGTTCAGGCTACTCGATTAGAAAATCAAATGTACAACCTACTTCTACGGGATTTCTAACTTAAACTGAAAATCATCGTCAGACTCGTCAAAGAGTGGAAATCACGTTTAAACTACAAACAACAAATTTTTTTATCCTAAGTGAGAATTGTGTGGTCGCTCACTTTTGGAAAAATAACCTAGAACACCTATTTTGACTAGTCTATAGGAAGAAGACACCTAACTATTCGGAATCTCGATCTACCGTGAAAATACAACACCAGACGTGAATAGACTGGACACATCGGCAGTGTAGAACGAGGAGAGAAAATATCACAGTTTATTTGCTGTTAGTAACCTTAGTTTCCTATTTGTGCGCTTTGGCAATCCGGTCTTCCTTCATTCTGGTGAGCGCCTCGTTAATTCCTAATAGCCTTTAAATTAATGAGCCCGATACCAATGAGCCACTTAAGTCATTTAAAGGCCAGCCGACACTGAACGAACTCTGCTTGCTTATGGAATATATCCTTATCTATAATGAATATTTGTTTTTTTATTTATGTTGGCGACTGACTATGAAAGCCAGAGTATTGAATATTCTGACTCATCTATTGTATAATATTGAACGATGATTAAGCACTTAAATTAACATTTGATTTGTAAATAAACACCTTACTAAAATGAAAAAAAAAAAATTCTATAACTTCCTGACAGTATTGTTTTATTTTTTAACGAGTAAGAGGGTAGTACATATATCTGTAGATGTATCTGGAATATTGAGATCAACGCAATTCTCGTCAAAGATTTTACCTAGCAAATTATGCACTAACTTTTACAAAAATGATTTTTTTAACGATGATGGTGTACGTAAGATTAACTATTTTAAATCATATATATTTTGCAACAATAATCTAGGCCAAGCAAGACGGTGAATTATATTAGGCGACTGAATTAAAATCTACAGTAGTCTCAATTAACTAACTTTCCGTCATATCCTACCAACTCCGTGAAGAAAATGAAATCAGAGCGGGTGCATCAAGGCAACCCCCTTATGACGTCCCTGCCTCTATTCAGAAAAAAACACACTTAAGCAAGTTTGGGGACAGATGTTTAATTATATGACCTTTAACATGTCAAAGACTCTTTTCTGCGTCTTGAACTTTTTGCTTGTTCGCCGTTGCTGCGGTAGGACTAGGTCAGCTAATTGAGACTATCTGTAGTTTAATCCTCTACGATAACCAAGGCCAAAGACTGTAAACTATCCTATCAAATTAAAAGCTAGATCAACCATTCCAAGATTAGAATAAAGACATAGCAGCTAGCATACCTTAAGAGGAGCACAGACAGGCCATGGAACACACAGAAGACATATAACATTTTGTTCCGTTGTAGACAAAAATAGAGAAACATTTTCACATACTCTTTTTGTCTTCACTTGAAAAAGTTCCTTACGGGACAAAATGTTGGGTTTTATATGTCTCCTTTGTATTCTATGGCCTGTCTCTTACTTCTTTTAATGTAAATTAGCTGCTATCCTTTTATTCTACGAATCAAAATCCTGGCCTAGAGCTGTTCCAAGGTTAGGTTAGTTCCAGTGACGAGAGAAGAAGCTGTGATTTTGAGGATGGGGATTGTGATAGTTCCACAGCTTACCGGGTTCGTTGAGCGAAACATTGTTGAGCTTGACGAGCGCCTCCAGATTCTTCATGGCATGGGAGGTCGACGCGAGATCTCCGGTCAAGAGATCATTCAGCGTGAAGCTCGGAGAGGGAGAAGATGCTGATGAAACGTTGGTCTCCGTGTTCGTAGCCAGGCTGGCCAACGCAGTCAGGTTGTACTCCTGGATGGTGCTGAGAGGCAGCAAGGGCGACGAGATGCCGAGTTCGCCGTCGTAGCTACTAGGCATGCTGACGGGACTGCTGGTCACACTGCTAGGAGGACAGTTGGCCAGACTGAGCGACTGCGGAGGAGGAGTCTCTTGCTGCGGAGTAGTCGTGGCTGTCACTGCAGGCGACTCAAGTTGACGGAAGTATCCAAATGCAGTCTGTGCAGAAACAAACGACATTGTAAAAAAATCAAGCAAATTGTTACGTTTGTGTTGACAGTAAAATGCCTGATGGAGAAAAATCTGAAAAATGTTTTACTGACAGTCAGCAATAAGATTTTCAGGGAGCATTACTTCTCCTGGGGAGGCTTCACGCCATTTTGACCACCTGTTTAGTGCTGTCAATTAACTCTTTAACAAAACCTTTAAATACAAAATCAACAAAGCTTTATATAGCTAACATTATTGGACTCATTAAATAGTTCTTTAAAGTTAGTTACTACGCAGCCAAGGGTTGTTACTGATAACAAAAATCATTGGGTAATAATTTATATTACAAGTCTTTTGCTGGCCTAAATGTTTAAAAGTAATAAACACTAGTTAAACCTGCTTTGAACAAACCTTCATTAAAACCTCCTAAGGCACAGCTACTAGTAAATATTTATAGCTTGTACTAACAATTGACACAATTTTGAACATCACAAGTGAAATTGTAGTTTTTACAGTTAGCAAACCTTTAGTGTCTTTGATAGCCTGGACAAAATTGATTATAAAACCAGAAATTTTAGTTGAATATTTAAAATGTTTGCACTTTTCAAGATAAGAATCTTAGGATATTATAGCAATAGTGAAAGCTGTCTACAGATTTTGCACAGTAAAATTTATGCCGTTGTAATTGCAGAAGATTATTACAATATTACCGCGATCAAGATAGAAACTTGCAATTTTGTTGCGATGTAGAATCGATATATAATCTTACGAAGTAACATGAATCAAAGACTACTAGTATCTATCACCAGTATGGAGGAATCTTGAGAAAACAAGAATCGAAAGCCCCTCCCTATTTTAAAAGTTTAACTGTTAATTTCAGTTGAATGACAACTCTAAAGACATATTGCTACAATTACAATCACAAGTACCTGAATGGCGGATTGGAACTTGTCCATGTCGGTGACAAACTCTATGTTAGTGTTGACCTCTGGCGCAGGCGTGTTGTTGATCAGGTTCATCAGCTGAGCGCTCACCACCTGACGCAGGGACAACACCTCGGCGGCACTGCCATGCTCCAACAGACGACTGGTGAACTTGTTGGCGTCCACGATCTTCTTCTCTACTTTGTCGATACTGCAACATTGACGAATCAAAATCAGTAAATTTGTTATCTCAACAAGTGTTATTTTTAACCATCCAACGTTATCTTAAGACTTTATTAATCTGAATTTTGAATAGACATTTAACCAACAACAGTGAGTTTTTTACAACAATTTTTTATTTTGTAAATTAAAACTCACCAATGGAATGCCTCCATGATCTTGATCTCTTTTTCTTTGTGAATTTGTTTCAATTCTTCCAAAACTACATTCTTCCTTTTTTCCAGCACAACCTTGTAGGTCTGAAAAACAAATTAACAAACTTAAAAATAAAACTACTTGCTCACCTTAAGACTAAGTTATTTTCATGTTTTAAGTACGGTAATTAAATGTGTTAAAAAAAAACCGGGGACAGTGAGCTTTTGGTGGCAGAGCATCAAGAATATTTCAGCAATATGATATTATAAGGTACAAGCTTAAATATTAGTACAATGTTCAGAAGTTATAAAAAGTTCTATTTTACTTCAGAAATGTATTTTCATATGCTAACACTCGGGAGTGTCAACCTAACAGCTGATATAGACCAAAGTAATGTTAATTCGTACAATAAAGCACTTTATTTATTCATTCAATAACAGCTGATATGCGATCATACCTGCAACGTCTCGTCGATAAGACCCTTGGCGTTGTCGTGTTGTGCCTGTAGCTCGGCCAGTGCGTTCTGCAAAGAAGTGGTTGCCTCCTCACAATATACCATCTTGCCCTTACTCTCGGCAATCAGACTGACCAGTTCCTTCTTCTGCCTCTCGTAAGCTTCGCCGAGCCGCTCGTACTGGTGCTCTGGTGCGCAATGCTCCACCACCACACACTCGTTACACAGTGGGATCTGCACACAATCACAAAAACGGTACTTAACACTACCTGAAAATGTTTACTTGTCAGAGAACACTTAAATAAAACTACACTTAAACCTCATAGCCATAGTTAATCTTGACCCCATAGCCAACAGAAGATTCTCTATGAAGGTACATTTACGGAAAAAGATGATAAATGACCCCTCCACACTTGTTGGTATGTTCCAGTTTGCCCCAGACCACTGGAGACGACGATGTATTTGTGAACGAAGGTTAATAACAATAGTAATGTGTATTTTTGAAGATGGAATTTTTAGATGGTAAAATAATTGCAAAACCCTATACATACATAGGTTGAAAAAAATCACAAAGTCAATGCAGTACCAGCAGCAGATGATCATTGCGCCGCTCACCGCGATTGCAAGAGATTCAACAATCAGTATGGAATCCAAAATTACAAAGTATTACAAAAGACAATTTGTCAATATCACCATGTTACATCATTGACTGCAATCTAGATGAAAACTTACCATACAAGTGTAGCAGAAGAATTTCATTGGCTCGTTGAGATGAGTCTCACAATTCACCGGCTTGTGTATTGGGACAGCTTCTTTGGCTTGCTTCAGTATTTCGAAGGACACGACTTTGTGGTCCTCAAAACAGCGCATGTACTGGAAAATGAAACAATTAGTTAGTCATCCCAAAGTTCTGATAAAAAGTTAAATGCAAGTGATAATTATGGTTTACCAAACCTGTTCCCTTTTTTAATGCAGAAGTAAATACTACATTTTTTAGACAGTAACCCTTGGTTTAGAAAATGTTTTCTAGAATAAATTAAGAGTTGATTTACATAAGTATAAGATACAGAACATACGTATTGTGTTAGATGCAACTGTAATCGTTGACTTGGATGCTTAACTGTTTTTTGTGTTCTTTTATTCTGTATTCATATATTTAGTCTCTGGATTATGATTTTTTTTTACACGAGTTAGCTGAATTCTATTTCCGTTTAGAAAAATCCTTACTAGCCAATTGTTTTTTTCCCAAATATAACCTCATTTTCTTTGACATGTTCATAATGTGACCTTGTTATAATTAATAAATCTAAGGAGAATAGTTAGGTTTATTAGATTATAATGATAATATAACAAATAATAATGAAGAAGATATGTAAATACAACAAAGAATAAATGCAGCACACAGAAGTTTATCAGCATCCCACAAACTATTAAGTTCTTGATTACTATCACACAAAACAAAACTCAGTATATATAAAACCATTATAAGACCGGATCTGTTATACGGCTCAGAAAATTGGGTGTTAAGTAAAAAAACAGAAAAACGTTTGATAGTATTTGAAAACAAAATATTGAGGAAAAACATAAGGTCCAACCTTTGAAGATGGAGAGTGGAGGATAAAACACAATGCGGAGTTGAGGCAATTATATATGGACCCAGACGGCCAGACATAGTGGCCGAGGTGAGAGGTAGAATGAGATGGGCTGGCCATTTACTAAGGAAAGAGGACGACTCCTTAGTCAAGAATGTCCTTTCGAACAATCCGGAGGGCAGAAGACCACGAGGAAGGCCCAAGTTGAGATGGCGAGACCAGGTTAGAAAAGACCTAAGAAGACTGGGAAGAAGGGAAGAGGAGGCAATGGATAGAAAAATCTGGAGGCAATGTGTTGACAAGGCAAAGTACCACCTTGGGTACCATGAGCCACGGCAGTAAGTAAGTAAGGAGAATAGTTAAGGGATTACTGACGATTTAAAAAAGTAACTTAAAAGGATAGCTGACCAACAACCAATGAAGTAACTCTGATTTAATACAACCAGGAAGGGAAACTACAATGTCTTACCTGATGAGCTTGCTCGCAATGGAGGCAGAGCAGTTTGGCGCAGTCGGAGCACCTTGCTATGGCCAACTGTTGGCCCTTGCAGCTGGTACATTCCACAGAGGTGTTGGTAATGGCCAACATGTCTTGAATGTTCGTAGAGATGTAGTCGCAGGCAAGGCCGCTTACACCCTTACGAGGCAGCTGAAACATAAATTACACAGTTACTGTAGGCCTACGTAAAATAGGCTAAAATCAATAGTAATTCTCAACTACGCTACAACAATTTGTATGGTGGTTTTTCAATTGAATTGAATGTAACACTTAACAAAGGAAAACAAGTATTAACTCACAATGGTTTCTTGGTCGCAGGATGGGCAGACAATCATCAACTCTCGACCTTTCTCCTGCGCCTTCCTCTTCTCTAAGCATCCTTGACAAAACGCGTGGAGGCACGAAAGTAGGCGAGGGTTCACCAGTGTGTGTCTAAAATCCACCCAATCTTGGTTACAAAAAAGTAATAAAAGAAGTTTACAGTCAATAATATGGAAACTGTGTTGTAAAACTTGTGAGCCATTTTAAGACAATTTTTCAGTTAAATTTTCAATCTTGGTTACAGCAAGTAATAAAAAAAGTTTACAGTCAATAATATGGAAACTGTGTTGTAAAACTTGTGAGCCATTTTAAGACAATTTTTCAGTTAAATTTTCAATCTTGGTTACAGCAAGTAATAAAAAAAGTTTACAGTCAATAATATGGAAACTGTGTTGTAAAACTTGTGAGCCATTTTAAGACAATTTTTCAGTTAAATTTTTATTTTATTCTGACCTACAGAATAGCAAACTTTTATCATTTTAATAAATACGGTACACAACTTTAACACCTTTTGTTAAAGATGGACTGCAACTTTTCAATTTTTCAAACTGAATAGGTAGACCAATTCCGTAAATCTTATGTTTGACCTGGTATGATAAAATACATTTATATACATATGAACATTTTGCTACTTAAAAAAACAATTAATTTAATAACCAGGAATAGGTTCACACATCGACTTACTTGCAAATAGAACAGATTTGTTCTTCATCAGTTTCGGGACTAGAATCTTCCAGCAGCTCGTGCTGATCTACATCGCAGGCATCGGAAAAGAAATCATCGTTTCCGTTTGAGGTCATCTTGGTAGTTATACAATCTATTTCACGTTTAACCAATTTATAAGATTTTATGCAGAAATTTATATGTTACCGTGTAACAACTTCACCTGAAAAATACAAAATCAGTTAGGCTTACGATTTGAAATAAAATTTAAGAATACACATATTAAATTTATATGATCAGTTCTCACCCCAACATAGCTTAAGGCTGACTAAAAGTCAAATTAATTGAACTGTGGGGTAAAAGTAGGCCTAATATGTTACCATTTAGCTTTTAATAGAGGGAGACATGCCAACGCCAATGAGCAAATAGCGCTAAAATCCATTGATGGCAGGCAAGATTTAAACACTAGAATCAGGACAGTAGTTCCCTACTTTACCTATTACACCAGATGAGACTCTTTTTGGTGGTTTAGGTTTTTTAAACAAGCGTTACACATTATGGAGCAGGGACTGTTCTTTTAAGTCTTAAACCAGTCACAAAGTACGGTATCTAGATTGTTTAACACTTTTGATCCTATTGGAAAACTGGTACTGGTGTTAAGAAATAAGACTAAAAACCTAAACCAATTGGTAATAGGCCTAATCGATTATTTGAACATTTTGAAGATTTTATAAACATTAAGGACTATTTAATTAAATAGTTGAACAATAGGATCTGATGTGGCAACAGTTTACTACACGTTGGGAAACAACTAACATTAAAAAGGCTCATATCAAAGACAACGACTTGTTAAACGAGTTCCATATCAACGTTTGTCTTATCTTTATTTAACTGCAGGGAAATAAATTACTAAAACCGAATCAGAATTTATAATTTTTGGTTATTCTTTGTTGGCCTAATGGTCTGTTTAAGAGTTGGCCTGTTTTTGTCAAGTTCTAATGGAATACAGTTTAACTTGTATAAATAGCATTAGAACATAAAATTTAGATTTAGGCCTATAGTGTTTTCCCTTTTTGTTGTTAAGGAATTTAAAAATAAATAACAAGGTAACCTCTAAAACCAAAATAGCTCTACAAATTTTCAAGCCTTTTATTAGTAGGCTAGTTGTTATTGTGTTCGTCTTCAAGTCTGAGGGTCCTTGGTTCGATACAAGGATAATTGGTTCTCTGGATCCAGAGAGAGTCCCCAGTTGACAAAGTCGTTTTACAACAAGCTATCTAGAAAGCCTATTGCAAAGGCTACCTATTCTCGTAGCTTAATTACATAATTTTCAAGACAACAAACACAACTGACGATAAGACAGCCTGATGATTAAGCGGATTCTCACAAAGACAAAACATTAGCCATAAATAATTTTTCTTATTCCCAATCCCAACAGTAGAATCCGAAATTAAACAAATTATTCATCAGTTAAAAAACAAGATAAGCTCAGGAGCTGATGAAATACCGTCAATGATTTTAAGAGTTTTCAGACTTCATCGTCAATCCTCTAACCCATCTAAGAAACCACTCTTTTCTGCATTGATAGTTTCCCAATGCACTCAAACTTGCAATTGTAAGGCCAATTCTCAAAAGGGGTGACCATAGGAAATGTGATAATTATAGGCCCTTTTCTATGCTTCCGGGTTTGTCCAAGATATATGAAAAGGCTGTTTTAGAGAGACTCTGGACATTCTTCCAAAAGAATAATACAATATTCAAAGATCAGCATGGATTTGTCAAAAGTAAAAATACTACAAGTGCAATATTTTCCTTACTGAACCATGTGGTGCGAGATTTGGATACAAAGCAACGCTCAATGGGTATTTTCTTCGATTTGAATAAGGCTTTTGAACTCCTATTAGCTAAATTAAACAAAATGGGAGTCTGAGGAGTTGCCTCTGAGTGGTTTTCGTAATTTTTAAAAGGCAGGAAACAATGTGTTGGAGTACAATCCATACTTGATCCATGTGTTGATCACACCGTCTTCAAAGTAGATTTAAGTCTTCAGAAACCCCTGTAACGAGAGGTGTGCCCCAGCCCCGGGGATCCATTCTTGGCCCTGTGCTATTCCTCCTCTTCATAAATGACCTCCCCTCATGAATAACCTAAGGTAAACAGTGCCTTTTTGCACATAATGATACTTCCCTAGCATTATCCAGCCCTTCCCTATAGTCACTCATTCAAATTACATCATAGAGGTGAATACCTTGCTTTAGTGGTTTGATGAAAACCTTTTGAAAACCAACACTGCAAAGGCCCAGCTAATCAACTTTCGAGTCTCAAACCAGTCCAACAAAGATCCGAATCTGTCACTTCTTCTTGATCAAACCTTCATTCATCCTGTACAGTCTGTTTTCAAGTTTACAGTCAGGTTTAGAAGAAAACTTAAAAAACATTTTGGTTGAAAATGCTTGCTACATAGTCCGCGATTTTTCCGCTGACAAGTTGTCAGTGATATCTGTCCTGTTAGATTTACTAGAAGGTAAAATTGTTTTAGTTAGCTTAGCCTAGTAGAGTTTTATATTTTATCTTTTACATTTCATTGTAAAATTGACTAATTCCAATACAATTTAATTTTGTAATTCTGCAATAAAAAACTTAAGACTGGTGGATGCCGAAATTAGGGTTATTCAGGTTAATGCCGTTTTCAAGTACGGTTAGCCTATTTTATGCATCAAGTCATTTTATAAGAATTTGATTTGTTAGGCCTATAAGGGGCCTAATATTTATTTAAAAGAGTGGGCAAATATGGTTTTATTAGATTGGCGAGGAGTCAAATTTGGCCGAGGATTCTAAAAAGAAGACTAAGTTATGTCTAGGCTAAGTTTATAAGTGAATTAATTTATGATTTTCAAACGCACAAGTTACAGCAGTGATTTTACAGAAGATCCCCACTATCCGACCTCAGTTAGTCAGACTCCTCGCTAAGTTGGTCTGACCATGCCATAGCCTAAATTAGTGTTTACAAAGTTATTGCAGTGGTATTGTGACCATCTCTTATTGCGGGGTGGATAGGATATCGTATTCCGTGATCACAGAACTCCTGCGGTACCTAACTGAAACATTTTATTTTCACCCACCGGGATCACGGAAAATACTGGACAACGTCTATCATAGAAAAAAGTCATTGTCTTTAGCAATCATGGCAAAATAAGTTAATAGACTCCTCGGGACCTAGACCAGTGCCGATAACGGTTTTTCCAGTTAAGCCGACGTCACTAAAAACTCGTTAAAACAGACCGTATACTGTGATATTCAAATTGAATTAAGGAGAGCATTGTATTTAGACACGTGATCACTGGTCTCAAATCTTTCCCACAAGAACAGTCGTTTCAGTACCGCCCACTTCCTCCCGATCTAGTCCGGTTAAACCAATGTCCTGATAAAATTTTTCTGGTTAAAGAGATGTCATTTCCGCCGAGTGTAGTCTGGTTAAACCGATGTCCAGTTAAAAGGTGTCCGGATAAGAGAGAGACTACTGTATGCCCTTTAAGACATAAGACATAGGCTAAGACACTTTCATACACATATTTACATAGCCTACATTTATTTACCCATGACTGAATACATCTTGTATTCAGTCATGGGTAAATAAATGTATAAACACATAAAAATAACAAGGAATTCAGTTAATACAGTCAATATAATACAAGAGTTAAAATTGAAATTGAGCGACGAGCATATAAATACAAAAGTTAGGGTACAGACCATGGCGAGAGATTTAGAATTCAACAGTATGGTAAATTAAAATTCGTGCAACTTATACCTATATCACGGTTACATCATATTTCAACATTTAACACGTTCGCGGCGGCACGTCAAATGGCGGCCCGTGTATCCCCAGTGCGACGCAGCCCTCAGCGTCAAACAAACCTGATTGCTGCGTGTGATTGGCCTTCCAATTTCAGTCTGACGAATAGCAAATAACGTGCGAGGATGTCCTGCTTTACAACGAGAGTCGACGTAGTTCGCTCAACACCCACAGATAGCAGCACTGCTTGGAACAAAGCCGGTCCCGTTGGAATTGTATTGCCAAATGGAGGGAAAAAGACGGGACAAAAAGTAGATTTTTGAGATTGCCAGACGGGGATTTTACGGGGAAATTTACTACCAACCTACACCACACCAAATACAGTATACTATTGAGCAGTGCTGTGCAAGGTTCCAAGTTTCTAGCTCTAATCCTGGCTCAAAAACAAAAAATTTCGTACTGCAATGCAGCTTGGGAACGATCGCACCCACCAGGATGGCATTAGGGTTCCGTATAGGAGCGATCGCTCCCATGCCGCCGCGAACGTGGTAACATTAACTATTTAACATCTCCTGACTTCATAGGAATCATCATCATCATCTCCCTCGACCAAGGAAACGTGATAAGATGTAGGTAACTTTTGACTAAGTTAACTTTAGATAACTTTTGGCCAAGTTAGTTAAGAGTTAGGCCTTAACTTAGTTATCTATGATCGTGGAAAACTCATGGATAACTTAACATAGGCCTATCTCCTGCAGTAGGCTAATGCGGTACAATAGGCTACCGTAACTTAATAAGTCTAGAAACATCTTCATTGTCTTGGGCGCGATCATGGGCCTAAGTTATAGCCTACTTTTACATCTAGCCTAATCTTTGTTAACACTGTTCTGGACATGGCCCCAGTCAAGAAGGCCTAACATAAGTGACAGATTAGCGAAGTTGTAAGTAGGCAACTAAGTTAGGCCTACACAAAAAAGACCTAGGCCTAACTTAAAGACCTAGAACCTAATCTAGCCTAGTACCTATTGCGGCGGTAAGGTAAGTTACAGCCCAAAGGCCTAAGTTAGGCTGAGTAGTGTTAGCCTAGGTCTAGCCTGAATAGAGTTAGCCTAGACCTAGCCTGAATACAGTTAGCCTAGGCCTAGCCAGAAGAGTTTAGCCTAGGCCTAGCCAGAATAGTTAACTTAGAGCCAGAATAGAGTTAGCCTAGACCTAGCCTGAATACAGTTAGCCTTGGCCTAACCAGAATAGAGCTAGCCTAAACTTAGGCCTAGCCAGAATAGTTAGCCTAGGCCTAGGCCTAATCTTAGCCCAAAGCCCAGGGCTCAACATTCCAAAATATTAATTGAAGAAAGATTAGACATCAAATGGTTTAGGGCAATCGACAAAGGTAGGTAAGGTTAGGTCCTGCCCTTTAATTCCACTATTTTAAGTAGTACCGTAAGTGGTGGCTGGATTTGGCAGTCAAGAAGGACTAGGCCTAGGCCTAGGTAGCCTAGGGCAGATTTTCACACTTTCACCAGTGAAAACAAGTTAAATTAGCTTACAGCACAGAAATTAATGGCAATAAAAACATAAGCACGAGTGATAAAACCACAAGTATATTAATTACATGTCAAGCTCCTACATTGAAAACTAGGAATCGTGTTTTAGGGCTTGAAAATATTGAATTTTATTTACGCTACAGAGCAAGATTGACCTTGAGATGAAAATGATTAAAATTGTATACTTATTGTGGTTAGAAATCCCCTACTTAGTGATACAATTATTACAACTATAATATAGATCATGATTATCTATATTACTTACATTTAAAATGACAAATTCACAGAAATCGCGAATAAAATACATTGAGCAAAACACTAAACAAGAACGCCATCTTGAAGTCTTGACGCAAATTGCAAATGGCGCGGTCGTTTATTCCCTTCTCTACCAACAACCCACTCTGGAAAATATCATTCCCCGCCGCGGCCTGCTTCGATCCGACAAGCGCAAAAGTGATTGGTCGGTGAAACGATTTGAAGCTTTGGTATATATTAGATTTTAGGTAAAGCCAGTATATTCATTGAGTATTTATATACGTAAATGTATATTATTAGTAAATAGCAACGTTTCATCTATGATAGTAATAATGCAGAATATGATTGTGAACAGCCAAAACAAAATTACAGTGAAAAACAAATATAGATTGATAATCGATTTAGTTTAATCCATCCAACAATATTTATTACTTACGAATTTACATTTAATTGTTGTAAAATGTACGATGCTGTAATATTGATAAATTTCATCAATATAACATCATCGTACTTTTTAAAATATGCATGTAATTGTTTATATTACCGGTAGTCGATGGTACCCTGATTGTAACGTAAATATGCGTTGAATTGTTTATTTGGTTTATAGTATCGGTAGTCAAGGGTACACTGAATGTAACGTAACCATACAAGAGAATACAACCATAGGTACCGGTACTCATCTTTGATCATAAAACATTGAAGGATCATTGAGAGAGTTTGAGTACAAATTAGGTAATATATGTAGATCACGAATACTATATGGTTAAGATAAATCACAAAAATATCGCACTATTTTATTTTTATTGGTTACCTATATAATAACGTAAAATTACTTGTTCCCATTGGGTTCAAGTCCTAGTCCTTTTTGGTGTCAGTGTCAGTTCATTTTAGCAGGTCAGCACGGGTAGATCCAGCCAGCTGAAAGGGGCGCTGCTTTCAAATAATGTAATGGGGTGGTACGGCCAAAGGAAGAAAATTGCACATTATAATTGTCAACTAGAAAATTGCGGCAATCTGGAGACATAATATATACACTATACATCCATCACTGACCAGTAAAGACTGGATAGATTTCATAAAAAAATTGGCGTTTTTATTGATATATAAAAAGAGATCCAACCAGTTAATGACACACAAATAAAAAGAACATAACCAGATAGGAGCAATATTAAAATGAACGCGTGCCATCAACTGCCTAATACTCTTTTTTCACAGACATTTTTCTTCTTTATCTCTTTGAGGGCTGCACTCTTGACTTTAAAAAGGTTGGTTTACATTCCAACCAAGGTTGGTTGCATTAAGCTGTCTCTCTACCACTGTCACAACCAGTCCACTACCAACTGGCCACCTTTCTCTTTGTTAGAGCTTGATAGCAAATTTAATGCTCACCTTGTAGTCAAAAGGTCACTGGTTCGATACCCAACTAACACTAAAAGTTGTCATTTCAATTGCAAAGATCTATTCCTATGGGAGAATGTTACACCATGGGTTAGGTACAGGCTTTTAGCGAATTTCCCTATAGGGAAGTAGCTATTACCGTAGGTGGCACGGCAAGACCTAGACCCGGGACCGATTTACTTTTTCATTTTGATGTCCCCAGAGGCCAAAAACACCATTCGTTCAAATTTTTATATATGTATATATATATATATATATATATATATATATATATATATATAGACTTATATATATATACGTCCGTGAACGCGATAACTTGAGTAATTTTTGTCCGATTTTGATGAAATTTGGTTTAAAGGTGTAAAGCGGGATAAACTTGAATGAGTTCGCGAACCAGCACGATCGGATCATGGGAACGGGGCTTTACGGGGGGTTTTATGGGGTAAAAATTGGTTTTTCTCACTTTTGACCCTCAGAACACAAAATTTCCCGATTTATCTTTAGACCTTTTTAAAGAGCTTAAAAAAACAAATAATTTAGTATATAAAAGTATTTTTGTTCGATTATTAGTAACGGAGAAAATTAAAAAAATTGTTAATTTAAAATTCCCATGTTATTCTTATGGAGAATATTGTCAAATGTTGTAGTTTGCTTGTTTATGGATATATTTTGATCAAACTTGGCAAATTTATTTATTTTCTACTAAGCTATCAATATTTTACTCAAAAACACACTTTATTAGTTCCCTTGTAGCAGCAAACCTAGGTACTCGTTAAACATAATGTTATTAAAATATATTTAACTGAAAATCAATTCAGACAAATGGAAATTCGCTTAGTCGGCAGGTTTGCTGCGGCGGGGGTATTTTATTCCAAATTTGAAAGGGACTGTACCCTGAAAATGCAGGCACTAAAAAGAGGAATACCTGGGAGTGGGAAACTCAAAACACTGCAGACAAATTTCTTAATCTCCAGGGGAAACCTACCATAATTTCTGTTTTTTAATCCCTATCAATTTTTTTCCCTGTGGCTGTCCCAAAATCTAAGAAATGAACCTCTTTTGAAGCCTTTAATGCTTGAATTTAATCAAGATACAGCTCGTGACACCTAAGCTGGCACTTGGCCTAGCGCGGGCAGTGTAGGCGGGAGGAGGGTGGAGGTAGGCGGGAGGAGGGTGGAGGTAGGCGGGAGGAGGGTGGAGGTAGGGAAAAGACCGGACTGCAAACATTTCCACTGCCTCACGGGGTTGACTCCCCTTGTATTATGTACTTGAGCGCCTTCATATGGGTCGCAAGGACAGTTGATGCTACCCGCATGACGGGACATAATGTTTTTGAAAAACGTACTATTAGCGATCGGCCAAGTGCCAGCTTAGATGTCACGAGCTGTACTCCATTCTTTGTATACCAACAAGGCTAAGGAAATAAAAGAATGTTTTAACAAATATTTATTGAAAAAAATGAGATAATTCTTGACAGGCAAGCTCAAAACTTACTAAAGTGCACAATTAGGAAAACAAACAACTGACTGCACAAAGCTAATTCAAAACTGTCTATAAAAAAATACTGTAGTCTTAACAAAACAACCAGTTGTCTTCGTCTTTGTACTAAATCAAAATTTAATCACAAGTCCAGCTGTCACTAAATATACATTCGAAACAATGTTTTTGAACAACATAAGTTAACACATTTAAAAATGCAATAAACATGGAATTGGATTCTGTTGATGTGGCAATCTCTCTACCTGGAACAAAGAACAATTCATTAAACATCTTTCACTGGAACAAACTGTGTCAAATGTAACAACAAAGGAATTGCCAATAAAATTAGTGTAGGAGACCAAAGTCTCTTTACACTATATCAATTTAATTGGTGTTCTAGGGCCAAAGTGGTGGTGGGGAAGGGAAGGGAGAATGCAGCTTCATTCTCTTCCGCCAGTTTCCTCACATACAAAAATTTGCTGACCAGTTGTGTTTTTAACAACAGTTTACTATGTACTGCAGTATTGTGTAAAGGGACTTTTCGGCCACCCTGTAGTTTGAAAATGAGGTTAAAGATCAAAAAGCCCTTCTGGTTCTTACAAAAGTCTTTCAATTTAGATCTCTGTTCAAGTTACATTAGCGGTGGTTCAAAACTGGACCCAGCTGTCCTTGATCATTGGGCTTTAAATAAATAGTCCTGGCTAACAAAACGGCTGGTTTTAGTCAGTAACAAAGCTACACAAAGCATCTCACTTCATTCTACAGTCATATTTGGGTTAAAATATGCACCTAGCTGGTGCTTCCATCTCAACCGGTAACTTAACTATGGTTTCAAAAATTGAATAGTTTTTACCTGAGTCTAGTTAGAGTGGATGTCAAATAATTTAGCTACTTCATTCAGATCATCAAACTTGCGTCCTTCTTTCAATACCTGAAATACAAGCCAATGGTTAAGTAACAAAGAACAATCTACTAGTACATTACATATTAACTATAACACATTTCTAATTAACACTCAGTGATATAGTCGTAAATTTATAGATGATTGACTTATTGAATTATTAATTGAATTGATTAATTGAATATTATTATATTGTTATGAATTTGAATTTGTGTTTTTGACCTCTCGGGAAAGTTTGATATTTTTAAACCCTTGGTAGAACACAGTGTTTCAGTCCCTGAAGTCCCCTGTTCAAATCCCACCGTATCACCGATGGGTTTTATCTAATTGATAATGCCGCCACCCCTACGTGTAGCCTGAAGTAATGTGGAAAACGATCCCAGGCTAGAGACTAGCGTCCTACGACAATGAAAACTATGTCACAGAAGGACTATGGGATTTAAGTTTCCTTTTTTAAAAGAAAAATAAATAAAAGATTCGACTTAGGTCTAATCTTAAGGTTCCAGGTTTAACTGTAAAATAAAATTCTTAACAAAACTTAAAAACAAAATTAATTTTTTATGAACACTCAAAAATATTGAGAAAGATGCATTACCTGTCTGGCAATACCAACTCTATTGAAGATATTCCACAAAACTATTCCTACAATGACTTCGTCCCTGAGATAGAAAATCACACCCTTGGTATATTCTTCTTTGTTCTCTTTCTTGTCGTCAGAAGGTGGTTCCTGAAAAGAGTAGAGAATGTAATAAAGCATTGCTATTTTGTATACTATTCGCTTCTAGCTGTGTCGTTTGTTAGCTTTATTTTCTTGCTATTTAGCTTTGATTGTGTCGGATGTAGTTAAATAATTTGCTCTATTAAAGCTAAATTATTTGTTATTTAGCTTAAGATAAATTATTTGCTATCCAGCATATTTTTTCTTCAGCTATTTACATTTTTCTACCTACAAAATTTTATTTGGTTTATTGTTTATCACCGTATTATTTGTAATTTTTAGCTTTTATGTTTCTATGTGAATCAAACCTAGTTGCCATACCGCAACGTATCAGATGGCATAGCTGCAGGTAAACATCGATTTGTAGTTTGTACAATTACTTTCTTATAGAACTTTACATTATTAAATATTATCTCATCAAGACACAAAACTATTCAAAATTTGTCATAACTCCCCGTGAATTCATGATAACAAACACTCATGACATGTTCTTACCTGTTTGTCCGTCTTGGCGTAGACTCCGAAGGTAGGCAAGCTAGAGTCGACTATTCCGAGCGCCTCGTAGCCAACGTCGGGGCCGAGGTCTGACCACAACATGGACTGGTGGAGGTAAGGTTTGCCTGCGCCGGTCATGTTCTCACCGGCTAGTCGGCCAGACACCACCGCGTTGTCGTGATGCTCGATGCGCCGACGACCCAGCTTGACGTCGTAGAAGCAGGCGCAATCTCCAGCCTGCGAGGACAGATTTGATATAGATAAGACTTTTCACAGCAAAACTATTGATATTTTTGGGGATATTTAATTTAAGGAGTTGTTGCAGACTATTTCAATACAAAAAGTCTCAAGTAAGTGTTCAAAACGTTTAGGTTTTGGTTTTACCTACTGGTTAATTCTTCATATTAAGTTAGGTAGTATCCCAACATAAAAATGCCAAATTTTAACTACAGAGTTCTTAAAAAGAAAAACAATTTAGTACATTACATGATTGTTTGTTTCAACGACATTCGTCTACTGAGAACTTCTAAATACATTACATTGTACCCCTGTTATATGTACTTATGGAGGACGGTGTAATTGTTGTAGTTTGCTTGAGTATGAAAATATTTGAGTTACATCTTGCAAATTTATTTCATTTCATACTGACCTATTAGTTAACAGTTCACTAAAAGAACTCCATGACTAAAAGACAGCTTTAAATTTTTTTCAAGTATGGTAGGTATTGTTATTTTACTTTTTTTATTATATGTATTCTGTTATTCATTCTCAGACACTAACCCAGTAGCATATTTTAAGGTCAAAACCCTAAACCCTAATCTTGTTATTTTTTAACATAGACCTGTTGTTAGATAGCCCAATCCAGACTTTGGTAAAGGTCTCTGTTTGAATCAAACCAGTGACCTTTAGATTTGAAGGCAAGCACTATAATAAAACACTATACCCATACAATTATTTTATGTTGTTTAAATAAGGATTAATATAACAAAAGGAAATATTTTAGTAAAACCCAATCAAATGGAATTTCGCTTCCACAGATTTGTAGCAGTGAGAGTATTTCAACACTCACAATGTAAAGGTTAGATCTAGCTTCCAGTTCTGCGTTGACCAGATATCCTCCGACCACAGGGTCCACCTCGAGATCCGACGTCTGGGCCAGTTGAGTGTTCGGCTCCACGCCTACTGCGACTATCACTTGGTCCGCCTCTACCTGCAATACACAAACGACTGTTGATTTGCCTTGCTGCATGTTTAACTTGTCTGCCCTAAAAGAACGCTCACCCCCCCTCCTTCTTTTCCTAGTCTCTCCTTCTCTGGAATCGAACGAAGCAACATCAGAATTAAGTACCAGTGAATCTACCCTCAAATGGATAAGTCTTATAATTAGATAGTATTAGGCATAGTATTATCTCCGGCTAAATTAGCAAACTAAAGGAGAACCCACAAGGGTCTCCCCAAAATTTTAGATGTAGGAATTTGACATTTGTTGAGGTAGCCTTCAGCCCCGATCCATTTCCAACATGTAGAATCGACACGTTTCCTCAGAATTATTACCATAGTTCTCAGTAAATTTCACATTAGTTTCCAATTCAGTAAAAATTCAATAAATTGACGTTCAGTTAGTCAGTTATTTTAGCCAATTCAAGCAATATACCAATTTCATTTCTCTAGTGTTTTGGAAGGATATTTTTAAGGCAATTAGATCAATTAGTGTAAATCAAATCTGGCTAGGCAAGATGGGTCTAGGTAAAAGATCTCCGTCCCTCTGTTCCCTAGTAACACTTCCAAGTAAAAAATTTACATGGTTGTAGATAATTGAAAGAATTTCCCATTGGCTTTCTCAAAACGGTTTGAAATTGAACTGTCTTGTGACAAAAATCTCAGACCATAAGTCAAAAATTTATTTGAAGTATATTGAGAGGAGATATTATTTCAGAGAGGAATACAAATATTTATAAAACGTTATTGCATCATGAACACTGGTTACCTTTGCACAACTGATGTAGATGATAAGTCTACAATGTTTGACAACATATCCAAACATAATTGTAATTTACACTTCCCTAAAAGTTAAAAAAATAGTTAAAATTTTGTTGAAACAACAAAAGTGACTGCACAGGTTCAAACTATGTGACCCCCCCCCCCCCCCGCTACATAGTCCTGGCTCTTGGCTACGCTACTTGTATCAGGTTGAAACCAAATACAGTATCAGAAATCTATTAATAAGTCAATTCCTTACCTGTTTGTCATTATTCAGTTTCAGCAAGACTCTTCCGTCCTTCATCTCCACACTGCTCACCTCGGCACGATTGATTACGTCGACTCCTTCTGTCTTAACTTTCTCCGTCGTCCACTTGCACAAATACTCCGGCAGCACTTTACCCATGTTACCGTCCTCTCTGAAGATCTGGTGAACTGTCAGTCCAGTCGACTTACCTACGGTTAAAAATCACGGTAATCACGGTGGCTACAATTTATCTTTACAGAAAATGAAAATTTACAACGATGATTTGTCATAATATAAATTAAGGTTATTAAGGTTTACTATGGAGCCGAAACCAAGATATTAAATTTTAAAAAAGAGAGATAATAAAGTGGTTTAAATACCTGCATAAAAGTAAAAGTTATCCAAAATGTTGCATACGGCCGTATGCAACATTTTGGATAACTTTTATGCAGGTATTTAAACCACTTTATTGAAATATTGGTTATCCGGAGGCTAAATCACAATGAAAAGAGAGATAACTCATTGTTTTTTTTTTTTATTAAATTATTAAGAAAGATCTTTGGTCCTGTGAATGAGAGTGGACTATATACAGAGACTACGATTATGATATTACAGCACATGCGAGAGTTAAATGGCTAAGATGGGTTGGACATGTCTTGAGTGGATCCAGGAACACTATTGAAGGAAGTAGAAGTGCAGCCGAGCAGGGGAAGATTACCTGGAAGGCCTAAAAGAAGATGGAAGACAGACATTGCGAGAGCAGGAGCGGAAGTAGAGGAGGCATACAACCGGGAAAAATGGCGAGCAATTGTTGGCGAGGCCAATGAAATACTTAGGAGAGTATTTAAAATTTATTACAAATAAAGTTACCAAAAAAACGACAAATAAAATCTTGTTTCTAGTTCAAAGGTTTTTAACATTACCTCGTCTGGCCAAAGCGCAGGCGAGTTCACTGCCAAGGAATCCTCCCCCTACGATGGCAATGGACTTTGCACCTTCGTCTATAATGTCTTCCAACTCCTCAAAGTCATAAATATTCCTGTAGAGCATAACCTGCAATAAAAAACACTGAGAGTTATTTAGGAACTTACACATATTTTGGATCTCTTAAAAATGAGCTTTTTAAGAGCTGCACTAATACACAAAATTGTAACATTCGCATTTTATTGCTACTTTCAAATAATACAGAGGTTGGCCCCCTCATGTAACCCAAGAATTTATTCAGCTGTAGTGCTAGCCTACAGTCTGCTTGAAACCCAATACAGTGCAGTAGTGTTCACCTTTTGCCTACTGAAATTGAAGGAACTACAAAATCCCAATACCAGCCCAGCTTAGCAAGTTCAAGTGAAATCTACCATCAGCTGTTTGGATGACTCATCAGTGCCTGCATTATCCTGTTAGCTGATATCAGGTGGACTGGGGTTTAGGTTTGTCTTGTTCAGGCAGTCTTGGAAGCTTAAGTAATTTATTCACCCTTCAGGTTTCTGGATTAATTAAGGTAAGAGTTTAAATCATTTTCATTGCAAACAAATTTAAATATTGAAATATTAAAAACCTCAACCAATCAAAACAGATTATTGCTAAAAATGTGTAATAAGTTGTTAGATTAATATTTTCTTGTTCATTTAGTTAAATTAAAGGAAATAGAAGTTTTCAAGCCTAGTAGTCACATGTTTTCAGAGCTTAACTAAATTTTATTTATTTATCATTGTACATTTTAAAGTTGCTGTATATATAAAATAATTTGTTTGTTGTAATTCAAGTGTACTAATTTCATCAAACAGGGTGTCCACAAAAAATTTGTCATTAATTTCCATGACTTTCCATGACTATCCATGACCATTTACCATTGATTTCCATGACTCACGAACTTTACACTCAAATTACAATAATAACATACACACACAAATAATACTGCCTGGACATGTTATTTTGCAGAAAATACTGAAATATGTAATAACAGATAACAATGGAGTACAATAGGTACAACAATGAACTCAAACAAACCGAAAACTCATAAAATAATACAACTGTAATAAATTGAATTGTCGAACATTTGTGAAAAATCCTGAAAAATGCTACAACAGTCCGGGTTACAGCTGACTAGAGCATTGAATGGTCCCCTCAAATCCATCCATAATTGGAAATTTCCATGACTTTCCATGACTTCTTGCCTATTTCCCTGACTTTCCATGACCAAATTTTTTTTCCATGACTTTCCATGACTATCCCTGACTTTCCAGAATGTGGACACCCTGTCAAAATAATCATGGTAAATATTTGTGTGGCAATATTACTTTTGATGATTGCAAAGCAAGTGCTAAAAGTTGTTTTAACCTGCAAAAGTTCAGGAAATTTCAGGATAACTAGATTTAGGAAAATGTAGATTCCCATGTGTTTGTAATTATTAAATATTTTGTGTTCTATAGTGTCAAGCTGTTCAGAGTAAATTAATGTCTGGTAAAGTAGTATTTCTCAAATTTGTAAAGACAGCCAAATGTTAAAATTTGTCCTTAATTAAAATACTCCAATTTAAAGTAGACTATTAATTGTTTATTGCTAAGAATTACTATTTTAATTATTGTCTACTAACTCAAAATATTTTCTGTTGCCTTTATTGTCTTAATGTTCACTGTGTTGTTTTAATTGTTCATTATTATTGCTGTAACTAAAACAAATATTTTTTTTCTCTGTAATTAATGTTCAAAAATTAGGTTTGTCCTTTTTGTATTTAGTGATTGCATATCTGAAAACATATTTTAACTTGAAACAAATATTTAAAGTATAAAATTCTGAATCAAAGATTGTTAAATAAATATATTTGTGTTAACATAAGTTTAAGAATATGTTACATTCTTTTGGAATATCCTAGGGTTTTACCGCTACCGCTATCGCTGGATTCTGGACCTGGACCTGGACTTCCTGGTGTCTCGTCCTACCTAGCCTACTATCGCTGTATCGACTATCGTCTCAACCTACCGAGGATCTACATTGTTGAAGGACCTCGTGTGTGCCTTAGCCTATGGACTATCGTGGGTCGACACATTCGTACCAAAAGTAAGAATTTTCCAATTTGTACGATATTTATCTTACTCTGAGACCAACATAACTGCTGCAAACCTACATCATTGAGGATCTCGGACACTTAGTTCTTGGTTGAATGCTTAATTTTGCAGTGAATTTGCACTAGTACTAGTGAATTTTGATAGCATCAATAACACAGACAGTGAGTGTGAGATCTACCTACACCTGGACAGGACTCCAACTGATTTTGCCAGAATATCTAGCTGTAATTTTGTTTAGCTTAAGTATTGTTATATTTGTTGGGTATTATATTGTTTTATATGTCATAGTGTATGTAAATGTTCTTATGTGATTTTGATTCTTAGCTGGTGGCCACCGAATTTATTGATATATATATATTTATACTTGTTCTTGATTTATCAGTTGATTATTCCAAAAATAATTAATCGTTAGTTTGGGTTAATCATTTTTACATTTAGATCTGAAACTGAATCAATCCTTAAACTTAAATAATTCTTGGGTCAGATAAAAAAATATTGTCTTGTGGAATAACTACTGTTGTTGGACAGTCCCTTTGTTATCTTGCTATATCAACTGAAATACTTATCTCTGATAATACATTCCTTGCTTATTCATTCAGTGTTATTTATTTAGTTACCTATGATCTAGACAGTTGGTTCATTTACATTCTTAGAAAGTATAATTCAACTTTTTATCAATTTTCACAAATCAATACAGAGTTTATTAAGATTAGAAATTTGACTATACTGCAATAGTTATTAGTTAGTGTTAGATGTATGCAAATTTTTGTCTTCTATTTTGAATGGTCGAGGTTCAATTTAAATTATCAAATATTCCCTGAATATCAGCTACGGGTTCAACAACTCAAGAGTGGAGTTTGACCCTCGCTTCGACTCCAGGACTTCTCCTTTAGCGAGGTGGCGCCCTCAAACTTTGACCAAGAGGAATAGTAGGCCTAGATTGACTATTAAAAATTGCAGGACCACTCCCATCACTGAGTTAGCGGGTAAAAATCGTCGCAATGGCGCCCAACGTGGGGCCAAGAAATTTGGCTTAAGCCTACATAGGAAAAAAAAGAACAAAAAAAATAAATAAAAAAAGAAGAAAAAATATAACTATATATTGTTTATAGAGGTGTTGCTGGCAAATTGTTTGGATTGATTCACATCCAAATATTTGTGGATCTTGTTTGTATTATTTGGTCTTTGAAAAAAAAATAATAATAATAATATTTAGCACTTATTCAACTTGTTTGTTTTGGACATTATGCTACTTTAATGATTTTATGCTGATTTTGTTACCATTGTCTACTGAAGAGTTATTAATTGTTGTATATCTTTTGCTGGTTTACTTGGTTATTTGATTTAAAGAAAAAAATGAATTCTCATCGGTTACGCAAAACTGAAGTTAAGTATGAGTTAAAGATAAGGGGACTACGTACTGACGGAACGGCTAATGAATTAAGGAAGCGACTAACACATTGTTTCTCAAATAATATTAAAGTGGATGAGGCTGTTGTACTAAAGCTGGATCCTGAAACAGAGCTTGAAGAATGTGAGGAAAAATATTCTGATCTCTCTTCATTAGTTGATGAGTATGATGGAAATGGGAAAGATAGCGAAGGTCAACGACTTATTGCCCGACTGGGACATCTTACTCAACGCATTGATAGAATTCCCTTAAATGAGACTAATAAGGAGGAATTTGAGGATAAACTTGTAGAATTATTGGCAAAAAGTAAGAAATTACTTGACTTAGTCACGAGTAAAGAAGATAAATCAAATGTTGATCCATCTAGTGAAGAGGAAGATAGTGAGAAGGAAGAAAGTGTCTCCATGGTAACAACGAAGAAAGAGGATACTGCAATGAATGTTGAGGAAGGTGGACATCGTACTGCTGTCAAGGCTATTGGTGTTGCTGGGGCTTCTACAGCACTGAACTTAGAGAATTCAACTAAAACCGTTCAACCTACTGTACATACTTCTGTGCCTGGTAATGACAATCCTCAAACTTCACACCAGACGACAAAGCCTTCATATTCATCATCTCAGAACAAAACAAAATCCGTTCCAGTCTACAAGTGGGGACTTCGCTTCAATAATGAACAAGAACAGAGTTTAGCAGCATTCCTTCAGCGAGTAGAGGAACTTAGAAGAGCTAGAGGAGTTAGCCATCAGGAACTTTTCGATTCAGCTGTCGATCTTTTTGCTGGACCCGCACTGGTTTGGTATAGGTCAACAATAGGAAGGATTAATTCTTGGGAATCGCTTTGTGCAGAGATGAGGATTGTTTTCCAATCAACAGACCATGATGTAAGACTGCAACAGGAAATATTCAACCGAACTCAAGGGGAGAATGAATCAATTGATTTGTTCATTGCTTGTATGGAGGGACTGTATGCAAGACTAGCAACCAGTGTTCCAGAACAAAACCGTCTTGAACAAATTTTACACAATCTCCATCCTCAACTGCAAGACCGACTTGCCTTGTTTGAAGTGAACAGTATAGAGCAGCTTCGCTTACTTGGACGAAAGGCGGAGATGGGCCGCCGTAGGGCGAATACATCTCGTCCTATCACCTCTAACAAGACCAGCATAGAACCTGATTTAACATACCGTGACTCAAACTTTGCAAAGCGATCTACAAATGTAAAATTAGCCAGTCTACAATCAAGACCTTTCCGTCAGAACACAATTAAGTGTTGGAACTGTATTAAAGAAGGGCATCGGTTTACCTCATGCCAAGAGCCAAGGACTCAATTCTGTTATGGATGTGGAGCTAGGGATGTAACAAAGTCTACCTGTAGCCACTGCAATCCTTCAAAAAACGTGTAGGTTTGGGGGTCATCTTGGACCAGGCTGACTCCCAGGTAAAGAATATAATGAAATCTTCTGAAGAAACATTAAGGGAAAATATTAAATTAGATTACTTGTTGGAAACTGTGGATAATGATTGCCGACCTCATCTGGACGTGAGAGTTTTTGGAAGAAAAATTAGGGCTCTTTTGG